CCAATATTCGTCTGGACCAAAAGGAATCATTTCTATTACTTCTGGCATAGGGGACATATAGCTACCTATCACCACATCAAAGCACATGCTAGAACACAAGTGCCTGTACCTGTTACACATTTCAAAGTCCATGCAAGCTAGCATCCTAGCCTTTATCACCTCTCCGCTCTCCCTAGCTCATTGGTTTCCTTCCCTCCAGCTACTCATTCTTACAATTCTGCTATTCATGCTATGTTTGCTCAACGATCCCGTCTTGCTCTTCTTTCTATGCTTTCTCTATTCTCTATCTCTGGCTATTCTCCCTGCACTTGCAAGATATCCCTGGCCATGTCTAGTCTGCTGGCCGTGTTCTTTCTGTTCAGCATACTTCCCTCTCTGCTCTGGACTCTTCCAGATGTGACACAGGATATTTGATCACACTGTGAACCCTGAGATGGTGTTATTTATTTGAAAAACCTGGTTTTAGTGGTGGTGTGGCTCAGCCTTAGCACACACCTTTAATACAGGAGTTTTATGCTTGAACATTGTAAACAGATAAAATCACCCATGTGTCAAGAGGCAGAGCAACCAGCCAGTTGACAGGAAGTGAACACAGGATTCTTTAAAAAAAAAAAAAAAAAAACCAGTAAAGGAGTCAGGAGGTCAAATAGACACACATTAGAAAAGAGGGATATTCAGTTTGAAGGAAGTTTTTTGAGATAGCTGAGGAGGAAGATAAGCTGAATGCTCTCTTTGCCTCTCTGAGCCAACAGACTTTCTTTCACCCCAGCATCTGGCTCTAGAGTCATCATTAGTAATATCAAACAATTGAGAGTTTTGTTTTGTTTTTCAAGACAGGGTTTCTCTGTATAGCCCTAGCTGTCCTGGAACTCACTCTGTAGACCAGGCTGGCCTCGAACTCAGAAATCCACCTGCCTCTGCTTCCCAAGTGCTGAGATTAAAGGTGTGCACCACCACTGCCCAGCTGACAACTGAGATTTTGTTTTAAAACAACATATGCCGCTGGCTGTTCTTTCATATCCCCAATAAAAACCTTCCTCTTAACCATACCACAGATTCCCCCATATCATTTTATACACTGACAAGACCCGAAAAATAAAACAAAAAACACACACACCAGACAGTGGTGGCACATGCCTTTAATCCCAGCACTTGGAAGGCAGAGGGAGACAGATTTCTAAGTTCGAGCCAACCTGGTCTACAGAGAGTTCCAGGACAGCCAGGGCTACACAGAGAAACCCTGTCTGGAAAAACAAAAACAAAAACACAAACAGAAGAAAACACAAACACTGGAAGTGAAACTTTGGTGTTGGAGCAACTGCCATTCACCCATGTTCCTGTATGCAATGCCCTTCCCCCACTTTTTTGCCAAGCTGGACTTAAATTTTCTGTGATCTTGTAGCTTCTTGCCTATTGGTGGTGAGTAGACATTGACTTACCCTCCCCTGGGTATTTGCCAGAGTATCTAACCAAAATGCCTCAAAAATATGTTCATTGTGCTGTTAGCTTTTGAATAGTGTGTGTGAAGTCCTGAGTTAAATACTCAACACCACTAAAAAAAGATTAAAAAAAAAAACCAAAAATTCCAAAAAACAAAACCTTTCCAATATCTAGCTCTCTGTTGCCTGTAGCATAAATCACCTCAAGGTATCAAGTCAAAATAAAACCATCTGCATTCCCAAGACATTCCACTATCCTGTTTATCTCAAATGAACATTTAACCAGTACAAGTCAGATCTTGTCAACTACATACTATTTCCTTTTCTCTCTCTCTCTCTTTTTTTTTTTTGGTTTGGTTTGGTTTTTCGAGACAGGGTTTCTCTGTGTAGCCCTGGCTATCCTGGAACTCACTCTGTAGACCAGGCTGGCCTCGAATCAGAAATCCGCCTGCCTCTGCCTCCCAAGTGCTGGGATTAAAGGTGTGCGCCACCACCGCCCGGCCTTTCCTTTTCTCTTAATACCTTTAATCAGTATATATTCCATTTTTATCATTTACATATCTTCTACATTTACATATCTATTTTTCATATCACTATTATTGTGTACCTATAATCCAAGTTTTCTTCCCTTACCCCATTTCTATACTGGAGAGCAGAACACTCAGGGCTTCATACAAATCTGAAAACTCCAGCTACTAAACTACAATCTCTAGGACACTACCCTCGCCCAGTTTCCCACAAGCTAGAGTTTCCTACTTTACTATGAAAAACCTATCGATCTGTTTGCTAGATGCCGTTTAATTCTTGTTCTAGTTCCAGTCTGTTCTCTAGCCTTTCATCAAGACACGTGAGAAGGCTAGTTTACTGTTATTTACATAGCATCTGTTTAAAATGTGTAAATGACTTCAGCTGATAAGCAATCTAGGAGAACTTGGTGAATGTATCAGGGTCATTTTGCTGCACTTTGCTTTCCCACTCTATTTATTGCTTTGACAAACCCAGATCTTCATTGTCTTCTCATACACTGGCCATGCATTTGCTCATTTAATCTTTCGAATTACAGTTCTTCACTGACACTAACAGTTTTTTTTCTTTTTTACTTTTTTTTCATTTTCTTTTATTTTTTAAGGGGGAAACATAGGATGTTTCATGTTGCTCAGACTCATCTCAAACACTGTCTCTGAAGATGGCCTTGAATTCCTGTTTCTAAATATGCCACCCATTAGGCAAGAGAAACAGCAAACAGCTCTAGGACCAACCCATGGAATATGGCCACCAGATGGGTGTGGGGAGAGGACTACGTGTCCTAGGGACTTCGTGGTATTGTGGAGTTTCACTCTGCTTCTTACCCTCACGGTCACCTGGTCATCTCATCCATCATAATCTATGAATGGTAGGAAAACTCAGGGATGTTCCCAGCCCCTCACTGAGCAGTGTCATTGGCACTTAGAACTGTAGTGATTGATGTTTTTCAAGCATTGCTGTTGGAGCAGATTCATGATTCAACCACCACCTTCAGAAAGAACTCAGATATATAGATTGTTAGCAGTGGCCACCACCCTTAGGAAGAATCTGGAGATATAAATTGTTAGTAAAAATTAGGTTAAGATGTTTTTGCTTGCCAGGCGGTGGTGGCGCACGACTTTAATCCCAGCACTTGGGAGGCAGAGGCAGGTGGATTTCTGAGTTTGAGGCCAGCCTGGTCTACAGAGTGAGTTCCAGGACAGCCAGGGCTATACAGAGAAACCCTGTCTCGAAAACAAACAAACAAACAAAAAACACAAAAAACAAACAAAAAAAAACAGAAAATTTTGGGGAACAATTTAAAATCCAGTAGGGGACACTTTTCAAAGTTGAGCCAGGGATTTTTCGAGGTCAGGGAACATGAATAACAGCAGCCCAGCTAGAGCTTATGTTTATGTGGCTTTCTTGCTAAAAGCTGGGTAGTTGGTCAAGGTGGTGATTAATTTCTTGTACCTATTTTGACACTCATCTTCCTAATATGATTTAATAAAAAAATTGTTGGGGGGTATATACCCTGAGAATTTAAAGTAGCAATGACTGATTACAGGGAGGTGGTAGCCTATACCTTTAACCTTAGTACCCGGGAGTCAGAGGCAGGTGGATCTCTGTGAGTTTGAGGCCAGCCCAGTCTACCGAGTTAGTTCCAGGGCAGTCAGGAATACACAGAGAAACCCTGTCACTATGTGTGGAAGACACACACACACACACACACACAAGCTTAGATTTCTTGATTCTTAAGATTCTAAGATTATTTTTAAAGATAAATGATAAAATAATTGATCTTTTCATTATAACTGCAAATTGCAGCCAGGTAGCATGAAAACTGGCTGAGAAAAAGTAGCTTACTTGCTTACACTTATAAGTTAACCTATAATAACTTACTTAATTTGGTTTTTTCACTTGTAATACCTAAGACTTTTAATCTTGTAAAGGTATTGGGGAACATGCTGGGGGGGTTGTTTGTTTACTATAATCATTCACTTAAAAAACGTAGTCACTCAACAAACAAACAAACAAACAAACAAAAACCCGAAAAACCAAAAAAACAAAACGTAGTCACATTGTAATTTCTGTACTACGTGGGAGATTTTGTTAGGGAATATAAGCTACGCGAGAAATAATAAGGTCACTGAAGCTTGTTGAAGTCTTGCTTCATCCACCGTGTTTGTATGTGTTTTGTGTGCATGTTCATGTGTGCGCGCGTGTGTGTGTGTGTGTGTGCGTGTGTGTATGAGTGTGTGTGTGCTTTACATTAATCGTCAACCCCTCCTTCGACCACTGACCACACTGCAGGAGCTGGCCTCTGACGGAGACCATAACGGGACTGACCATATTATTTGATACAGGGATAATTTCCTGTGTTTTTAACATGCGATGACGAATATCCATTCAAACCCAGCAGGACACGAAAGCAGAAACATAATAAAGGATTTTCTGAGGTTGTTTTTTTTTTTTTTTGTCCCCACCCCACCCCCTACCCCCACCGTCGCTGACTGGATTTCATGAGGGTAGACATATTACACTGGTCGTAGAGACGTCCCCCACACATTAAAAGCAGTGAATATATGTTGAGTGAATGAATGATGAACCCACAAAAAGCCTCCTTAGAAAAATCTAAAACAGTGTAATAACCTATTTTTCATTCATTTACAAATGAAACAAACAAAATAAAATAAAGTGGCTTGTGTCTAAGCACATTATGTCATCTGCGGCAAAGGTAGAGTTCCTGTTTTCTCTTTTCGACGTCGGACAAACGCACCACAATTTGTCAAAGCCATGTATCCAGCTTTGACTCTTCAGCTTTGTACGCCTAACGGGGACAATCCACATTGTTTTAACTCATTCAGAACCGTTTTTTTAAAAAGATCAATCCCAGTGTGCAATGCAAACAATGAGCCCAGTCGCTTAGAAACCACATATCCCAGGATGCCACGCTCCGAGACCCAGTCGGAAGGAGGCATGAGGGAGGCCTTGGCATTCTGGGAGTTGTAGTCTCCGGCCAGATCCCGCCCCCAGACGGCTTTGGAGGCCTGTGTGTGGAGAAAGCCTCCGGGGAGAGCCGTGCTGCCCTACAACCTTCGCCCCCTGCCCTCAAATCTTTCCCACAATCCAAAATGGCGGCCGTTGTGGATTTTGGCGACCTGGAGCTATTCGAGGCGTTTGACCCTCAAGAGGAGTCGACCCCGAAGCCCGTTCACACCCGCTTCAAGGACGACGAGGAGGAAGAGGACGACGACGAGGATGAGAATGGGGTGGGCGACGCGGAGCTGCAGGAGCAGCTTCGGCGCTGTGAGGAAACCATCGAGCAGCTCCGCGCCGAGAATATCCTTCCGGCTTGTTGGGCCCTGTCACTTGCCACTTGTGGTCCGTGTGGCGGCGGGCGGGGCGCGGCGGAAATTCTAAGTCATTTCTAAGCATTCTAAGTCATTTCTCCCGCGGCCCGGCGGGTTGGCGGGCGGGAGTCTCGGTCCGGTTGCAGAAGCTGCGACCGCGGCCCGCGCGCAAACCGTCCCTTGTGAGAATCCTCCTGTGCGGACCACCCTGGCCCCTCAACTCAGAGCGGCTCTGTTACATTGCAAACACTTCTCTCCCGGTCTTTGAGGTCCCGGTGTTTTCTTTCTTGGCGTGCCAAGCTCAAGTAGAGACTAGTCGTGGTGTTAGTTTGTGTGTTTGAAGATGCGTGTATCGCAGCGGTGGCATGGGATGTTTGTGGACGGGCAAAAGTTAAGAGTGCCCACTGTGATGCAGAATCGGGGGCCTTAAAAGAATTCGCATGCAGAGAGACTTGGTTAATTGTCGAGATAGTTTTAATTTCTTGAGCTAACTTGCATCGCAGTGTTCTGGGAAAAACGCGCCAAATTTCTCTTTGACTTTATAAACACGATTGTAATTATGTTAATTTCCGTTCTTAGGTAGTTTTGGTTCAGGTAACCTTTTTTTTTTTTTTTAACTTTCCTCTTAAAACTTATACTGAACCCTGACAATGGTTGATACGTCAACTTTTGAAGTTAAAGTCTGATTTTTTTTCATAATATTTTCCGTAACACTTTATTATGAAAACTTATAAAATACTAGAGAGTTGAAAGGATTGTGCATTTAATATCCATAGGTGTTCTCTCAAATTCTTGTTAACATTTTGCTATATTGCCTTTATCATTTATCATTATGCTTTGACATGGAAATTTTTCTTAATTGACTGCTTCATCTTGTTCCCGGAACACCGCTGTCTAACCGGATTTTTTGGTTAATCTCTTGAACTGTTTCTGAACTTCAGGGTCATGTCTTAGAATATATGTTCAAAGGGATGAAAACCGTTATTTAATGTTTAGGTTCAGTTGTCCTACCCTCGGTAAAACATGTACCCAGTGTGTTTCCCTCAAAATACTTACAGGTCCTCCCTTTACATTTATGACATTTGGATAACAAAAGTGAAAGTTTTAGTGGTTGAATTTTATGTCCTGCATAGTTGTATTTCCTGAGGACTGATATTCCTTAACCAGTAATAACATCAAGAACTTAAAAGAAAATTGAACATTCTGACAAGACCCAGGTATGAGATCTTGAAATTACACAAGATGCCCCTTTGCTGTTCATCTTGTTAATCACAGCATCTTTGGGAAAAAAAAAAAAAAGTTTGTGGGGTTTTTGTTATCATCGTTAATTCAGAATGCTATGAAGAATTCAGTAACGGTTCTTTATTGTTGACTTAAGAGTATAAAGGAATTCTGGTAAGTGGGTTAAACATTTAAACACACTTAATAGATGTTTTTCCTGAATCCAGAAATTTTTGCTTGACTGTTCAGAGAAGTAAGTTAGACCCAGCTGTTCATATTTAACACGTTTCTGATAAGTTTACAGTTAGGTTAGCTGATGGTTTCTTTACAGCTATTAATATAACTGTTTATTGGTGGTAGCTGGTTGGGTTTTTGGAGGTTTTTTTGTTTTGTTTTTTAGTGGGGGCAGGGGTGGGTTTACTGAAACAGTGTTTCTCACCTTGTAACCCAAACTAGCCTGGAATTCACTGTATAGTTTACACTAGCCTTAACCTTATTATTGGTCCTTGTTTGTCCACCTTGAAAGTGCTGAGAGCAACCACGCTAGCATTAAATATTTTTATTACACACTTTTAAAATACTCATTAAATGTTGTACAATTACAGACAATGCAAGGTATAGCATTTTTTGTTTTGTTGAGACAAGTCTCTTTGTAGCCTAAGCTGGTCTCCGGTTACAGTGTAGCTGAAGACCTTGAACTGCTGATCCTCCTGCCTCCCCTTCCCTAGTACTGGCATTACACCTTGGGGCCAAGTCTGGCAAGGCACAGCACTTTAGAACAGGTAATGAGCTTGAGAAAGTACAGAATAGAGGCATGTATTCAGACATCTGGTCACAACAGTCACACTAATGCTGGCGTCTCCTGTGATAGGAATTTAGCAAGTCACTAAATTAGTTTTTTATTTATTTTACTTTTTTGAGTCAGGATTTTACTTTGTAGCCTTGAACTCCAAGTCTTTGCATGAAACTCACTTTATATATACCAGGCTGGTCTCAGACCCAGCTGCCTCTTCTGAGTGCTGGGATTAAAAACAGGTGCAACCTCTGCAGGCCTCTAGTACTGTACTAATTTACGTAGAGCAGTTGCTTCTTAACTTTTTTTTTCCTTTCCTCTTCTCTCCTTCCTTCCCTCCCTCCCTCCTTCCCTTCTTTTCTCCCTTCCTCCCTGTCTTCTTTGTTTCAGCAGGGTCTGTATGGTTCAGGCTGCTCTCAAGCTGCCTTCTGCCTTAACTTCCCAAGGGCCGGTGTTCCAGATAGGAGTCATGTTCAGTTGAAATAGTTTCAGGCTTTGGAACTGGGAAGTTTTCTTGTTTGTTTATGTACTGGCTAGGTTGTGACCAAAATTTCAGGGTCTCATGTATCCCTTAGCAGTCCTGGAACTCATTGTGTAGCTCTGAGGATCTTGAACTTGGAATCTTTGTAAGTCTTGGTATTACAGGCATGCATGCTAGGCAAGTTTACTCTCAGCTGAGCCACTTTGTCAGCTGAGTTCAGGCTTAGCCAGAGCTAACTCTGGCCTATACATACGGTCACCTGCTTGGGAGCAGTACTGCCTGGAACTCCCATGTTTTGTGAATCTTGGATTGTAATAATTAAAGCTGTTTGCTTTGGCCTCCAGGAGTCTATAATAAAATAAAAATTCACATATTTATGAAGTGTTTAGTTTTCCTTTATACTTCCAAACCAAATATACTTGGAAATGGTTAGAAATATATCCGTGTAACCTGCTTGCTTATACTCTTCCCCTAGTCTCCTAATTTGTAAGGAGACCATTAATTAGAGAAATTTTGTTAAAAACCAAAAGATTAACCTATGGGGTGTGTGTGTCTGTGTGTGTGCATATGTGTGAATGTTTGAAAAAAAATTTTTTTTTTTTTTTGTTTTTTTTTTTTTTGTTTTTCGAGACAGGGTTTCTCTGTGTAGCCCTGGCTGTCCTGGAACTCACTCTGTAGACCAGGCTGGCCTCGAACTCAGAAATCCACCTGCCTCTGCCTCCCAAGTGCTGGGATTAAAGGCGTGTGCCACCACCGCCCGGCGAAAAAAAATTTTTAATGTTGGAGGGGATTTCTGGGCCAGATGTGGTGGTGCAGCCTGTTAGTGACCACTTGGGAAACAGAGGCAGTAAGATCCCTGTGATTTCAAAGCCAAGCCTTGTCTACATCGTGAATGTCAGGGCTACATAGTGAAACCCTGGAGAGAGAGAGAGAGAGAAGGGGGGAGAGGGAGGGAGGGAGGGGGGGAAGGAGATTGAGGTTGTAGGACTTGAGATAGATGACTGGTTAAAGTGTTTGCTGTAAAGCCTGAGTTTGTGATCCCATCACCCATGTAAAATGGTGCCAAAATTGACATCTGTGATCCCAGTACTGCAGAGGCAGAGGGAAGTCCTGAAGCTAAAGATCTAGCCAATCAGCAAGCATCAGATTCAGTAAGCAACCCTGTTTTAAAAAACAGAAAGACGCCTTGACTTTCCCTTCTGGCCTCTGACCTACATATGTACTTACACAGACACTGAATGCAACCCAACACGATCCCACTAAAGACAGTAGAATGGGTAGAAACTGGATCTTTTGTGCTTCTTGTGGTCAACCGGTTGTTTGTTTTGCTAGAGTTGGAAGCTGAGGCCCTTTTCCTGTGCCGAGCAAGCTCTGCACCACAGGCTGCATCTCCAGGCCTCTTGGGCTTATTCATAAAATATTGTATGATCTTTAGTGCTGAAGAGTTACAGACGTTGGGTTTGTGTGGTAGTGTGACCTGTGAGCCCAGGACTGGGGAGGCTGAGGTAGAAGAGTCCCGAGCATGAGGCAAGCTAAGGTGATTAAGACTTTGTCTCAGTGAAGAATAATTGCAGCCACACTCAAGTTCTTCTAAGAGCTGTGTGTGCACTTTACCGTCCTCTAAGACTATGTTTAACTTCTGTTCTAGTGGCATACTGGTGAGCAATACTAAGCTAGATGGACCATTGTTACAAATCCTGTTTATGAACAATGCTATCTCAAAGTAAGTAGTTTTTCTGTTTCTTAAATATGAGTTCATGTGTTCTAGGAAACTGAATTCTGTAAATATGCTATTTTGCCTCATCTTTATTCTTTCTCTTTTTAAATGTATATGATTGCTTTGCCTGCAAGGATTTATGTGCATGCTTATATGTATGCTTGGTGCCTGTGGAGGCCAGAAGAAGGCATCAGATTCCCCAAAGCTGCCATTACAGATGGGTGTACATATTTATTTGTCTGTTAGGAATTGAACCTCGGTCCTCTGGAAGAGCAACCAATGCTGTTAACCACCGAGCCATCTCTCCAGCCCCTATTTTCTTTTTTTTTTTTTTTAAGATTTATTTATTTTATGCACATAAGTACACTGTAGCTGTCTTCAGACACAACAGAAGAGGGCATCAGACCCCATCACAGATGGTTGTGAGCCACCATGAGGTTGCTGGGAATTGAACTCAAGACCTCTGGGAGGGCAGTCAGTGCTCTTATCCCCTGAGCCATCTCTCCAGCCCTTCTTCTTTTTTTTTAAACTACATTTTATTTATTGCATGCTTTTATGTGAGTAGGTACTCATGCACCATGGTGCAGGTAGGTGGTCAAAGGACAGCTTGTAGGAGTCAGTTCTTTGCTTCCTTATGCAGGTTCAGGGACTTGAACTCAGGTGATCAGACTTGGCCTCAGGCACCTTAACCCACTAAGCCATCTCAGGGACTCGCCCTTATTTTTATTATTTAAGTTGTTTTTGAGTTCAAGTATATGAGAGCATGGTTTTGAGCAAGAGTGTGAGTTAAAGACCTGAATCTGAGTCTGGATTCTGACATCTGTGAACTGGTTAAACTCAAGGTATCTGTTAGTTTTTCTCACTGGAAGCCAGTGTGTGCTAATAGTAAATACCTCTCCCATTCTTAAATGGCACCTCTGAGAATCCAGGAAGTAGCACCTCATAAGAATACTACCACCGGGGCTGGAGAGATGGCTCAGTGGTTAAGAGCACTGGCTGCACTTCCAGAGGTCCTGAGTTCAAATCCCAGCAACCACATGGTGGCTCACAACCATCTGTAATGAGATCTGATGCCCTCTTCTGGTGTGTCTGAAGACAGCTACAGTGTATTCATATATAATAAATAAATCTTAAAAAAAAAAAAAAAAGAATACTACCACCATAGAAGCAAGGTTAGTTGTTCCTGCTCTCATGTATGGATGTTTTCCCACACTGGCTGTCCCGTAGTGATTTTTGGTCAGTAGCAGAACTTGACTCCCACAAGCCTATGGCGTGCCTGAGTGGAGGCCTCAGTGCCCTTCTACAGCGGCCTGCCCTCCTGAGTCACTTGTTCCTATTATTGTCCAGTGCACGCGCTGCAGACAAGAAGATAAAGGAGTAGGGTCCAGGCCCGTCACCGGCTTTAGTCCAGAAGTAGAGCCCAAGGCTTCGGGAACTAGGAGTAGCTGGATGGTGAGTGCAGTAGGGGCATGATGCAGGCACCCCTGGATGTGGGTCCTGCGGTCCCCTAGATTAGAAAGGTATTAATGATTTTAATTAGCTTTTAATAGTCTAACTTCAGTACCATTCATCTGCTACTTTGCTTGCAGAATGTTAGAATGCTACAGCTAGAAAACTTCTGAGAGGCTAGGTCTGTCTGAAGTACCCTGGCTGTCTCATTCTAACATAGACAAACCAGGTTTCTGTTTGTACCTCCTGAAGGGAGCACTCCAGAATGTCTGTCCGATCAGTGTGATTCTTGACCTAGACAGCTAGACAAAGTAGACAGTTCTCATTTTTCTTCCTTCCTCTTTTATTTTATGCTAATGTATTTTGGTTGGCCTTTTCTAGTTTTTGAGTGAAATGTGGATTTTCTTGTATGTGCGTTGAAAATCTAGAAGAAGGATATGGAGGACGCCCCTCTATACAGAAACAGGAGAAAGCAGGAATGGGCTTTTCATCATGTAACGCTTTTGCTGGGTTTTCTTGTCTGTTTTTTTGTTTTCTGGAACAGGATTTCTCATGGTAGTCCTGGCTGGCCTGAAATTTGTAGTTGTCCTTCCACGTCTGCCTGGCTGCCAGATGCTGGGATTATAGGCCTACACCACTGTGCCAGGCTTTCTGTTTGGTTTTTGAGCCATTTGCATCTAGCACCTATTTTTTGTTTTTGTTTTTCGAGACAGGGTTTCTCTGTGTAGTCCTGGCTGTCCTGGAACTCACTCTGTAGACCAGGCTGGCCTCTGCCTCCCAAGTGCTAGGATTAAAGGCGTGCGCCACCACCGCCCGGCTCTAGCACCCATTAAAAATTAAGTATATGACAGCCAAAGCTACACAGAGAAATCCTGTCTGGAAAAACCAAACCCACCAAACAAAAGTATAGGAGATTTATAAATAAAATGTACTTACTCTCACAAGTGTTTGACTAAGGTTCTATGCCAGACACCAGTAGATTATCATACTTACCTATCAGTGCTACAGTGGGAGATAGTGTTTCTAAGGAGTAGCATTCTGGGTTACAAAGTCACATTAGGAAATGTGACAAACATGAAAAACAAAAAATAAAGTTCGGCTGTGAGTTCTTACAGTGATGCACAGGACCTGAGTCTCCTGAAGTCTCACCCTGTCCAGGTTCTAACGGTCTGTCCGTCTGCCCTCTCCTGCAGGCAATACCACCAAGAAATCGAGGAGTTTGTATCAAACTTAGTAAAACGATTTGAGGAACAGAAAAAAAATGACGTGGAAAAGACATCCTTCAGCCTTTTACCCCAGGTATTTTAAGCTTGAGCCTCAGTGCTAAGTGGCTATGCTTTTTGCTGCCAGCTGCTGTTACACTAGACATTTCCTTGGATCAGAACCAAAATGGTGAAGGTCATGTGCTGGCTTCCTTCTCCAAGTCTGACCAGTGCTGCTACCTGGTTGGGATTGTCGCTGGTGTGCTGCCTTGCCTGGATTTCGTGTTATTTTTGATTTAATGAACATTTTAAAATGTTTTAATGGTTTGAGGTCTATGAGGTTATCAGTATTGACTAGTAATGTTAGATTACACACCTTTTTAGTCTCCCTGGGGCTGTTTTCAAGTCTGCCTTGCTATTTGATTAAGTATTGGATAGTCCATAAATAACCCTGTCTTAGCTTTGAAACTTATGACAAAATGTCCTGTTTATGTATGTTGTTAGGTGAAGGAGCCATGTTGAGGCACCTCATGTTTGAAAGTCAAAAGGTATTCCTCTTGTGACTCTTTGTAATGCCTGTTTCTTGGTCTTAGCCATCCAGTGTTATGTTGGAAGAGGACCATAAAGTGGAAGAATCATGTGCCATTAAAAACAACAAGGAAGCTTTTAGTGTAAGTTTGGACTCTTTCTTTTGAACTCTGCAGATGTATGGTTCCTGTGTGTTTTCAGTTGGGTGGTGTAAAGATAGGCGATGTCATCACATTTCTGTAAAGCAGGAGTGTTGTTGTCATCCTCTAGTGTCACTACTCTAGTGTGACTGCTGTGCTCTGTCCTGGTACACTTTGTTTGCAAGAGTTTGTGTTGGTCCTGACCAGCCTCTTCATGTTTTTCTTGAAAACTTTGACTAGGCTTGTAAAACTTACATACAGAGGAAGCGGCAAGAAGTAGCTGATGTAGCGTGGCATGTTAGAGACCTCAGATGCCAGGACGCCTGATTAGTGGGTAAAAGGAAGTTTAACAGGGAGAACCTATATTTAGGCCTTCCAGTTCCTTTGTAAAATTTGTTAGTATCAAACCATTTTTGCAACATATTCTCAAAGGATGACTGGTTTTTCTGCTTATAGAAATGTATATCCCTCTGATAATGTACCCCAATTTTACAGACACGGGGATGCAGAGATGCTGAAGAGCCACAAATCTGATGAAAAGACTTAGAGGGATGTTGCATCTCAGCAAATTTGGTTGTAGTTGTTAGTATCATGCTTTATAGCATCCCTGGCAAAATAGGATTAGTGATGGAATTGAATACAGGAGGTACTTTTGAAAAGGAGGTACTTTTCAGCTCAGAGTCAGAGACCTAGGCTGGAAGTTGGCCTTGATGGCTTACACTTGTAGTCTTAGCTCCCTCAGCTCCTGGAGGCAAAGGCAGAGAGGTAAAGGAAAAGGCTAGGCTGGACTTACAGCTTAGTCTCGGGGTGCTTATCTAGCATGTGTGAGTTACTAGCTATATCACCATTCTCTTCCTCCTCCTCTTCTTCCTCCTCTTCCTCTTTTTCCTCTTCTTTCTCTTCCTCTTTTTCTCCTTCCTTCTTCCTCTTCCTCCTCTTCATCTTCCTCTTTTTCCCTTTCTTCTTCCTCTTCCTCTTCCAGAGAGAGCTTAGCAGTCGAGCATGTGCCACTGGTGTAGAAGATCTAGTTCGATTCCCTGCTCTTACACTGGGCACCTTACAACCTCATAAAATTCCAGCTTCAGGGAATTCAATGCCTTTGGCGTACCCAAAGGCTGGCACTCCATGCCCATACCCACACACACATACAGATAGACAGACAGACACACACAAACACACACACATGCACCATAATTAAAAGCAAAATAATTCTCTAAAAAAATCAGAAAAAATTTGCACCAGGTGGTAATGGTGCACATCTTTAATCCCAGGACTTAGGAGGCAAAGGCAGATACATCTCTTACTTCAAGCACAGCCAGGGCTATGTGAAGAAACCTTCTCTAGGGATGGAGAGATGGCTCAGTGGTTAAGAGCACTGACTGCTTGCTCTTCCAGAGGTCCTGAGTTCAATTTCCAGCAACCACATGGTGGCTCTATAATGCAATCTGATGCCCTCTTCTGGTGAGTCTGAAGACAGTGGCAGAATACTCACATAAATAAAATAAATAATTCTTTAAAAAAAAAAAATGAAAGAAAAAATGAAACTTTGTGTAGAAAAACAAAAAAAAAAATCAGAAATTTGCATCAGAGAAGGAAAAAAGTTCATGTTATTTGAAGAAAATAAAAATTAGGGATGCTATCAAGAATATTTTAAAGTTTTCTATTTTTTATTTTTTTTTTTTTTGGTTTGGTTTTTTCTTCTTAATTTTTAAATGTATTTGTATGCATGCATGTGAATGTCAGAGGATTGTTTGCTGGAGTTGGTGCTTATCCTTCTACCCCGTGGGTCCTGAATGTGGTCTTCCAGCTGTCAGGAGTGTAGCATCTGAGCCATCTCAACGGTGCAAATTGTTTTGTGAGACAAGGACTCACTCTGTTGTCCAGGCTACCTTTAGACTCATAGAAATTCTCCTGCCTCAACTTCTGAAGTATTAAATTTACCACATTTAGTTTTAAGTTGTTTTTTTTTTTTTTTTTTTTTTGAGACAGGGTTTCTTTGTGAAGCCTTGGCTATACTAGAACTCATTTTGTAGATCAGGCTGGCCTCGAGCCCACAGAGTTCCACCTGCCTCTACCTCCTGAGTGCTGAGATTAAAGGCATGAGCCAACACTTCGTAGCTAAGGTTTTTTTTTTTTTTAATTTGACTAGGTAACATTCATTTCTCTTCCATCTCAAAGGCTATAGGATTAAAGTACTGCTTTGTTTTAAGTGAGAGCTTTACAGTTATCACTTTAGTCCTTTAGACATTCTGGTGTTTTCTGAATGCTGCTTTGTGCCAGGAACAGAGAGAGGTTAAAGAGACAGCAATGAAAAGAAAGGGTCGGGGCCAGCTCTTGTTCAATGAGCCGTTCAGTGAATGAAGGTTGACCTCCTAAGAAAAGTAAGGTTAAGATACAGGCCATTATGTGCTTGCCTATAACACGAGCCCCTGGGTTCGATTCTCTAGGAGAGACAGAAGAGAGAAAGTGAGAGTTTGTGTCTGTGCGTTCGCATGTGCACACATGCACATGAGAAGCTAGCTACATGGGAGGCTGGGACAGGAAGGTTGAAAGTTTAAGGCCTACCTGGGCTACAGAGTGATCCACGAGTAGCCTGGATAGTTTAGTGAAATTCTGTGTCAAAATAAGGAAAGAAGTAAGTTCAGTGCTGGAGCACTTACTTGCCCTAAATTAGAAACAAACTCTAATATAGATAGCCCTAAATTCAGTACCCAGAACAATTTGGGTGGCAGGAGGAAAGTGACATGGTACTGGGTGTGGGTGGTTTGTATAGTGAGTTGTTGGTGACTGCCTTTGTGGGCCATGATCTGGATGAATAGAGGGAGAATGTGAGGGTGTATTCTGAGCAAAGAGTGCTCAATAAATAGAAAAGGGAAGAAGATACCAGCAGCCAGTATTCAGCCAAGTACTGGGCTATCACTTGAGCTGGTCAGGTCAGACTGACAGAGACGCAGTTCTTGCCATTGTACTCAGAAGGAAACATTGACAGCTCAGAGACTCACCAGTAGGTGACAGAGCAGTTGATCTACATCCTGACGAAAACTTCAGATCATAGTCTATAAGCCATTTAAGGGTCATAAGTAAAAATGTGACATGCTGTGTCTTAATTGAAAGAACCAGGTTCCTTCTAGAAAGTAGTTGTCCCCTGGGAGGGTCTGCAGTCAGTTAGAAAGCTGGTGTGTTAACCTCAGACAAGGGAAAGCAGTAACAGACCAGCGTGGTAGTGGTGTGTGGCTGAGACCTGGATATACTTGCAATAAGGCTAATCTAATGTGTTCATGAATTGGATGTAGAATAAGGAACCCCTGAAAGAATAGTCAAAAGAGGTCAGGGCTTGGCCAGGGAGAGTGGGGGAGAGGCAGGATTGGAGGGGGCTGGGAATTGCTGTGGTTTTTTTTTTGTTGTTGTTGTTGTTGTTTTTGTTTTTAAATTTACTCATCTATTGGGTTTTATTGTTGTTATTTTAAAGACAGGGTCTTGCTGTGTATCCCAAGCTGGCCTCGAACTGTGGTCCTCCTGTCTCAGCCTCTCAAGTGTTGGGATTGCAGTCAGGTGTCGCCATACCCAGGTTCCAGTGCCATTTTAAATAGGTGAGTTTGAGACACCTTACATTTCTAGAAAGAGGTGTCATGTAAGCCTTTGACTATCCAAAACTGGAGCTCAGGGACTCACCTTTGTGGGGTCATCAGCACAGAAATTACATCTCATATCCTAGGTGTGGGTGAATCAGGTACGAAGGGAGAGTGGAGAGAAGGCTGACTGACCAGCCATACGGCAGCTAATCCAGAGACGAGGGAGAGATGAGAGAGACCTTGGCAGCACAAACAGGTTCCATCTGTAGAGCAGACCTGAGAGTAGCATCCTGAGTGCCTTGTAAGAGTGGAGGATGATTCTGGGAGAAAGGAAGAGTCAGCTGTGTAGTGCTTGCTGCTTGGTTGAGAGATGAAGATTGGCAGATGCCCTAAGAATTCAGCTGCAGAGTCTTACTTAGCTTCTTCATCAAGCAGCTAGTGTAGTGGTCAGAATGAAGCACTATTGGGAATGTTCTAGAGAAGCTGATAATGTCACAATAACTATCCAAATACAACGTGTGAACCTTATCGAGTCCTGAATGGGGCCAGCACTAAAAAGCGTCGTGGAGGTAAAGAAGCTTGAGTGTAGAGTTGCTGTGAGTGACGCCTGGGAGTTAGAGCTGGTGCCCGGGGAATGGAAGGGAGGGTAAGTGTCACTTTGTCTGCGTGCATGCGTGTGTGCATGTGTGCGTGCATGCGTGCACATACATGAAGAGAGTTGTGCACGGAAAAATTTCAGACTGTTCTTATTCAGGTACAGGGTGCATGAAAATTCATTGTATTGTGTTCTCAACCTGTCTGTATGAAATGGCTACAAAAACTTGGTAGTAGACCAAGTCAATGGAACCAAGGAACCAGAAAGATAAAAGCAGGCTGTGGTGGTCTTGCTGCAGACATAGAAGGTACTGGAGGGACCTATGTCGGGCTGCGGTGTGAGCAGCACGCTCTATAGTACTGATGGGTCTGTGACAGCTCAGGGGTCATTTATTTGCACATCAGAGTCCAGCTGATGTTTAGGGCTCTATTTCTCCCAGCCTCATCTAGAGTCAAACTTAATGGGTAATCATAAACTTACATTATCGTAGACTTACGTTACTTACTGTCTTTTTTTTCTGCTTAAATAGCGATATTTTTTGACTTGTTTTCTGCAGGTTGTAGGAAGTGTCCTGTATTTTACTAATTTTTGCCTTGATAAATTGGGGCAACCGCTACTAAATGAAAACCCTCAGCTTACGGAAGGATGGGAAATACCCAAGTATCCTACATAGTGAATGAAGATCTTTTATACATCTTGCCACTAAGTTCACCTTTAAAAAAAAAAAAAGCTTACCAAATTTTGCAGACTATGATAACTATTCCTTAATAAAATTCACTAAAGGTACCAGCAAGTCTTCAGCCACATTGTTTCTCTAGAAGGGCAAGAAATGCAAGTAAAGGCAAAAAGGTTCGTGTGGGGGTGTTGTCTTGTTTTACTCTTTGTTTTCCAATACCAGAATCTCTTTATCAGCTCTTAAAAGTTAATATTCTTTATAGCTGGTTTGATAAGAATTTCACACTGAACTAGAATCCTGATATCTGGAGATATGTGTTTAATGTTTAAATTGATCATCCATTTCTTGGAATTCAGGCCCAGGGCCTGGGAGGGTGGAAAGAAGTCATTATTGCTATCAGTGTGGTTACTGTCTTAGAACCATCTACCTTCTTCCCGTTAACTGAAGGAGAGGATGCTCTGTTTGCTTTGGTTCTTCTGTTATTAATCACTGAACAAGTTGAGAGGTAACATATGAGCTGGAGCAGGCCAGTTCTTGGCTTAAAGACTACAAGTGCTGCTTATGTAATTGAGTACAAGACACATCGCTGTGCTCGGCAATGCAGATCCAGTGCCTCGCCTGCTGCTGTCTCTGGCACTCCACTGGCATCTAGAATGTACTGATGTGCTCTTCTGTTGTCATTTCCATCATGAAAATCTTTGGATTTCTGTTCTGTTTTGTGTTCTGACCTAATAGGCCAAAGCCTCACTGCTTCAACTGTGGTTCTGAAGAGCATCAGATGAAGGAGTGCCCAATGGTAAATCTTCATAAGCAGGATGTTACTGAACAAAAGCTATGGCAATTTTGTGTGCATGTGTGGCTCTGGGTAATGTGCATGGACTTCCTGTGCTACATTCATTTGTGCTTTAATGTTTTTCAAGTTCGAGTTTATATTTAAGACATTGGATTTTTTTTTTTAAAGAAAATAACATATTCTGTATTTGAGGTGAATGGAGTTAATTTTTAGACATATTTTAAAAAGTTAAAATGTAAGTTCTCATAACATTAAAATAATAAAAATTAAAGTGACTGTTTCTTCTTGCTTGCTTTTCAAAAAATGTCTGCCCACTTTTGTGTGTATAATATACATTAAAGTAGAACAATCTATTTTATGCTTTATATTTTAAAAAGTGAGCATTCTTAGTAAGTTTCTGAGATACTTTTAAATTTCTTGATACCATTCTTTTCAAACATTATTATGATTTAGCCTCGGAATGCTGCTCGAATAAGTGAGAAAAGGAAGGAGTATATGGATGCCTGTGGTGAGGCCAACAGTCAGAGTTTTCAGCAGCGGTATCATGCAGAAGAAGTAGAAGAAAGATTTGGAAGATTCAAGCCGGGAGTTATTAGGTACCACTGTTATTTTACCATGGAGTGTCATTTTTAATTTCTCAGTATTGGTATAACATGTATAACATGCCTGTACAGAATACATCCATTTATTCCAACCCACCTATCAAAGGCTTGCCATGTGCTTAGTATGTATAATAACTTCATGCTTTGTAATGCTATGTGATATGGAACAGAAATGTTTTAGCTAGACATGGTGGTTCATGCCTGTGATACCAGTACCTGGGTGGTTGAGGCAGGACAGACCCATAAAGTGAGCCTGGGCTACAGAGTGAGAGCCCTGTCTTAAGGAAATTATGGGGCAGGAGCGAAGGCTTGGAAGTTAAGAGCGCTGGCTGCTCTTCCAGAGGACCCAGGTTGGATTCCTAGCGCACACAGGATGACTCAGAACCATATCTGTAACTCCAGTTCTCACGGATCTGATGCTTCTTCTGCCCTCCATGGGCACCAGGCGTGCATGTGTTGGACAGGCATGCATGCAGACACAAACACTCACATGAAAATGATACTAAATCTTTAGAAAAACAAAGATGCCAAAATGTTTTCATGCAAATAGAAATCCCTCATCTGTCCTCCTCTTTATTCTTATTTTTTACTTAGTGAGGAACTTCAAGATGCACTGGGTGTGACAGACAAGAGTCTTCCCCCTTTCATCTACCGGATGCGCCAGCTGGGCTACCCACCAGGCTGGCTCAAGGAGGCTGAATTGGAGAATTCAGGGCTTGCACTCTATGATGGGAATGGTATGGTATTTTAGGACAGAGAAGTCAGCTTCCAGGTCCCTGTCTTCCCCTCCTGTCTCCTTTGTGTCATGCCTTCTCCCCTTCTTCCCCTCCTGTCTCCGTTGTGTCATGCCTTCTCCCCTTCTTCCCCTCCTGTCTCCGTTGTGTCATGCCTTCTCCCCCTGCCCCCGACCCCCCGTTAATTAAGATTATTAGCCAGGCCTCTAATCCAGCAGTCAAGAGGGACAAGTAGGTTAATCTCAGTGTTTGAAGCCAGCTTGGTCTCTAGCAAAACCGTGTCTAATGACAGGAATGGGTGGCCTGTTTAATGTGTTTTGAGGTAACTAAAAACATGATGACATTTTGTGTTTTACAAGGAAGGAACTAAAGCTTTATTGGACATAGGGAATTAATCAGGTAGTTTAGCTGAATATTATCCTGGCATTCGGGAGGCTGAGGTAGGAAGGTTGATAGTTTTGAGGCCAGCCTGCCTAATCTACATAGTAAGACCCAATCTTTAGAAAAAATAAAAGAAGAAATAGTATCAGGTAGGGGTAGGGAGGTGGCTTTGCGGGTGAAGGTGGTTGCTATGCAAACTTGACAGTGAGAAGGAAAGAAGTGTTATGACAGAGTTGTCCTTTGACCTGCACACATGTGTCAGGGTACACCTACACACCCACATCATGCACTTGAAATAATTTTTTTTTTTTTTTTTTTTTTTTTTTTTGGTTTGGTTTGGTTTTTCGAGACAGGGTTTCTCTATGTAGCCCTGGCTATCCTGGAACTCACTCTGTAGACCAGGCTAGCCTCGAACTCTGGAACTCAGAAATCCACTTGCCCCTGCCTCCCAAGTCCTGGGATTAAAGGCGTGCGCCACCACCGCCCGGCAATAATTTTTTTTCAAAGATTTATTTTTATTTATATGATATACAGATGGTTGTGAGCCACCATGTGGTTGCTGGGATTTGAACTCAGGACCTCCGGAAGAGCAGTCAGTGCTCTTAACTGCTGAGCCATTTCTCCAGCCTGGCTCACAACCTCTGTAATAGGATCTGATGCCCTCTTCTGGTATGTCTGAAGAGAGAGAGAGAGGGAGAGGGAAGGGGGTAGAGGGGTAGGGGAGGAGAGGATGGACAGACAGACACCTTTAATCCCGGCACTAGAAGGCAGAAGTGGGCAAATCTCTGAGTTCGAGGTTAGCATCCTGGTGTACAAAGTGAGTTCAGAATAGCCAGGGCTACATAGAGAAACTGTGGCTGGAAAAAACAAAACCAGAGAGACAGAGAGAAAGGAGAGAAAAAGAAGTACCAAACTGTTATCTCGGCTTGGTCTATGACCACCACAGCCAGAGCAGGAGCCCTTCAGATAGTCCTGAGAAGCTTTTAACCTTCTTCGTAATAGGAACATAGACCTATCAATGGCAAGAGACAGGTGGCGCTTCCACAGTGATATGGGAAGCAGAAACAAAGAGAATTGATTGACCAGGTATAGCTACTTGACACAAATAACATAAGGCCATGCTTGCCTCAAAAGCAAAGAGGCCAGAGAAATGGCTCGGTGGAAACAGGCACTACCTATCTTGCCTGGTGGTTCTCAGGATCCACGTGATAGATGGAGAGACCTAACTGCAGATTATTCACTGACTTCCACATACACATACCACGGCACAGACATTTACAGACATTTACATTTACTGAGACAGATGCAGACACAGCTAACCATTAAATTGAGGTCAGGAACCACTGTGGAAGAGTTTAAGGAAGGACTGAAGGAACTCAAGGGGCTCACAACCCTATAGGAATAACAGTGTCAACTCACCCAGACCCCTCAGAGCTCTCAGAGACTAAGCCACCAGCCAAGGAGCATATATGGAGCAGTCTATGCCCCTGGGCACATGGATAGAGGTGGACTGCTTTATCTGGCCTCAGTGGGAGAGAAAGGGCTTAATCCTGTGGAAACTGGATAACTGGATGCCCTGGGGAAAAGGAATGCTGGCAGAAGGGGTGGGGGTGGATGGGTGGGTGAACACCCTCAGGGGAGGGAGGAGGGAAGGACTGGAGGATGGGATGATGAACTCAGGTAGGGGGGGAACAAGAATCGGGGACAACTTGTAGAATGTAAATAAATAAAATAATTAAAAGAAATTAGATGGGGCTGGAGAGATGGCTCAGTGGTTAAGAGCACCGACTGCTCTTCCAGAGGTTCTGAGTTCAATTCCCAGCAACCACATGGTGGCTCACAACCATCTGTAATGGGATCTGACACCCTCTTCTGGTGCGTCTGAAGACAACTACAGTGTACTCATACACATAAAATACATAAATAAATCTTTAAAAAAAAAAAAAAAAAAAAAAAAAAAAAGAAATTAGATGGTCTAAGGGGATGGTGTCTTATAAAGCCACTATAGCCGGGCGGTGGTGGCACACGCCTTTAATCCCAGCACTTGGGAGGCAGAGGCAGGCGGATTTCTGAGTTCGAGGCCAGCCTGGTCTACAGAGTGAGTTCCAGGACAGCCAGGGCTACACAGAGAAACTCTGTCTCAAAAAAACAAAAAAAAAAAAAAAAAAAAAAGCCACTGTAGCTATCCCTGCAAGATCCCTCTGTACAGTGGCTTGGGCACTCCTACAAAGCTCTTTCCAAAGCTGAGTATGTCTAAAGTTTAAAATTTTTCATAATAAAAGAATTTCATTTTGTTTTGTTTTTCAAGACAGAGTTCCTCTGTGTAGTTCTGGTTGTCCAGGCACTTGCTACATAAACCAGGCTGGCCTCCAGCTCACCTGCCTCTGCCTTCCAACCACCCAGCTAGATCTTTTTTATTCTTTTGAGACAGTCTGTGTTCCAGGCTGGTCTGGAACTTGCTGTGAGTTGAAGCTGGCCTTCAACTCCTGCCTGAGCCCCCTAAACATTGGGATCATAGATCATGATGCTCACAGCTTGTTTAAAAGTTGTAATGGTTCAGGAAAATGATAATTAGTCATTCCCATACTAATTCTGATGTAGTATTTCAGCACTTTCCCTATATGGGTTGAGTTGGGGAGGGACATATTTAGTGTCTAGCCATGTTAACATATTCTCTGACTTCTAATAGATGACGCTGATGGGGAAACAGAAACTGGAGAAATACAGAATAAAAATGTCACTTATGATCTCTCAAAGTTGGTAAACTATCCAGGTTTTAATATATCTACTCCCAGAGGTATTCCAGATGTAAGTATACGTTTCAAAATTTTCCTTCTGAAATGTGATAATTATATTAAAGATTGTTAATTATTTTTTTGTTTGTTTGTTTGTTTGGTTGGTTTTTGGAGACAGGGTTTCTCCGTGTAGCCCTGACTGTCCTGGAACTCACTCTGTAGACCAGGCTAGTATCGAACTCTCAAACTCAGAAATCCGCCTGCCTCTGCCTCCCAAGTGCTGGGATTAAAGGCGTGCGCCACCACCGCCCGGCAAGATTGTTAATTATATTAAAGCTTATTACATAAAGAAGTGAGTGAATTTATAGCTAGACATGATAGCACACATGTGTAATATCACTTGAGAAATGGAGGCAAAATGGAGTGAGCTTTTAGTGACGTGTTTCGGCTTTTCATTTGTGAGACAGATCTTATGTTGCCCAGATGCCAGGATTACAGGTGTGCATGCACATACAACTGCATCCAACTCTGATGTGGGTTCTGGAAGCCAGACTTGGGGTCTCGGCTTGTGTGCTGCACCAGATTACCTCTCCTATATGGAACGTTTTAAATTCTTTTTTTTTGAGAACAGGGTTCTATGTGTAACAGCCAGCTATCCTGGAACTCACTCTGTAGATCAGGCTGGCCTTGAACTCACAGAGATCTGCCCACGTTTGCCTCCCTAGCATATATTTTTCAGTACTAGGAATTGAACTCAGAATCTATTCTTTTCTAGTGCTGAACTGTTACTGAGCTATATCCCAACTCTAGTTCCTCTTATTAACTAGAGTATTAAATGCAGGACTACTGTATATGTCAAAGTTGGGGGCTTTCTGCAACATCCTAAGCAAAAGCTAAGGAGCAGAAGTCTGTGTGTTAGGCTCTACGATCCTAAAACTGCCTCAGCAACCTCAGGTGGAATCAATCTGAGCCTCAGCAGATGACTCCTAAAGTGCCGCATTGTGTGGTAGTGTGAGCCTTTAATAATTTCCATGATTACAGGTCAGCCAGAGCAACATGAGAGACATAAAAAAGAAAAGAAACAAGCCGGGCGGTGGTGGCGCACGCCTTTAATCCCAGCACTTGGGAGGCAGAGGCAGGCGGATTTCTGATTCGAGGCCAGCCTGGTCTACAGAGTGAGTTCCAGGACAGTCAGGACTATACAGAGAAACCCTGTCTCAAAAAACAAAAAACAAAAAAAAAAAAAAAAAAATATACTGCTAACACTGTTAACATTTTTGGAGTAGTCTTTTAGGTAGTCTTATAAGTTGTACAAGTGTTTATATAAATAAAATTCTCTCCTTAACCTGACTAGATGCTGTGGGGCTCTTCCACCTGTTTTCCTTGGCTTTTCTCCTTTTGGTAAATTTCTTTCTGTGAGGGGCTTTTCACACTCGCTGCTGTGTGCCGTCCAGCTTTCATTCATTTTCAGTTTTAAACAGCGAGCTGCTTTGGTAGTGTTGACAAGTTTGGGTTTTGGTACTTTTGTTTGAGATGTTGTTTGATATAGTGATGCTCCTTCTGACTCTGGGATCCAAGAGTGTGCCATTGAGTCTAGTTTTAGAGTTCCCATTACCGTTTTCTAGTTTGCATACAAAATAATGGGCTTCATTGTGACATTTCTGGGTTTTTTTTGGGGGGGGGAGTGTTATTGGTGTTTTGTTTTGAATTGGCGTCTTCTACTGTAGCATAGAAAAACCTTGAAGTCACTGTGTAGCCCAGTCTTTTCTGGGATGTGCAGCAACCTTTACGTCTCATCCTCCTGAGTGCTAGGATGAAAATCTCAAAAAGATGAAACTTTCCAAACCCACTAATCCTTGTTTCTTCCACATCAGGAATGGAGAATGTTCGGTTCCATACCAATGCAGGCGTGTCAACAGAAGGATGTGTTTGCCAGTTACCTTAATTCTAACATCCAGTCGGTAAATTGATTTGTGTGTGTGTGTGTGTGTGTGTGTGTGTGTGTGTGTGTGTGTGTGTGGTGTGTGTGTATGATGTTGGGAATTGAACCTAGGACTTCAGATACACTTAGGAACATCACTACGTCAAGCAAGCACTTACCATTGAACTGTATATTCATTCCTAGCCTCAGAACTTAGATTTTAAGGGTGTAGTTGGTAAACGTCTGTAGTGGAGAGATTTTATGGCTCATTGCTGTTCTTTTTTGGTTTAAATTATCAATATTGGTACCTGATGAATCAAGAGGCAAATGGCAATTGTTTGGCTCTAGGGTGGTTTAGGTATGGGCTAGAGGTTCTCTGTCTGCCCTGTCTAACTTGTGTTCTTACTGGTTACTCTATTAGCCGAGCATGAGGTCTAGCAGCAAGCGGTCTTCCTCCCAGTCCAGCCCTAACAGTCCAAAGAAGCAGCGGAAGGAAGGCAGCTCAGCAGCCTCCCCTGCTGACATGGAGCTTGACTCAGGTAAGTTTGTGGTGTGGGTTTCCTGTGGCTCGCCTGTATCCTCCTGGGTCTGTGAGGACGACGAGGCTCCTGCATACTTAGCTCCCCAATCCTTAGCTGTCAGAGCATTTCCATTGTTGCTGATAAAACCTGAATTGGAAGCTACACTTGGTGGAAGAGGCAGAGGGGCCAGCTAGCCAAGTTCCTGAATTTGGCAGGCTCAGGTGTCCACAGTGTCACAGCTTGTCTGGCTCCTCTGGCATTACTCTGGACAAGCAGCAACTGGGCATGCACACTTTTGGGAGCTCCAGTTTCAAGAACAGTTGAGCCTCTGGGCAGGTATCTTTGTAGCATATTGGTACTAGAACTCAGTTACCTCCCAGGGCTGTGTACTCTTGAAAACTTAAATTGGGCAAATTCTTGCCCTCTGACACACTTTTTTTATCCTTTTATCCCTCCATATCTTCCCATGGAGCCTGTGGTCAACCAGGATCATGGTGGTCCTGACAGGAGAATCCAGTTTCCACCTTTCGGAGCGCAGTGTCTAGGATTAGGGAAAAAGAAAGCGGACTCCTCAGTTAAGAGCAGGCTTCTTCTTTTCTGGAGCCTTCCTAGGACGACTCCTATCTTCATGACTTGTGTTTCCTCTATCTGAAACTACATACAGTTCAGGGTAGCTTTCCCAAGGGTTTGATTCACATTCCTTAGCACCAGGATCCAGGCATGGTCATGGGATCTGAAAGTCTGCTGTTTTCCCTTTTCCTGGTTTTTGAGACTGTAGCCCAGGCTGACCATCTGAGCGCTGGCATTTACAGGCATTGGCCGCCATATCTAACCCTTTTCTGCCTTCTCAAAGATGGGTGTTTATGGTCATTCTGTCTTTGGTTACTCCCAAGTTCCAATAATAAGTTTGTATGGAATGCTGTGAATGTGTCTTTCCTGTTTCAGATGTAGAGATTCCACCTGGTTCTCAGAGCAGCAGAGCATTTCAGTTTCAGCCACCATTGCCTCCTGGCACACCTCCTCCACTGCCACAGGGGACACCTCCACCTCTCTTCACTCCTCCACTCCCTAAGGGAACCCCACCACTGACTCCCAGTGACTCACCCCAGACCCGACCCACAGCCTCGGCCATGGATGAGGATGCCCTGACACTGGAGGAGCTTGAAGAACAACAGAGGCAGATCTGGGCAGCTCTCCAGCAGGCTGAGGGAGCTAACAGTGATTCTGATGTTCCTGTAGACACACCTTTAACTGGGAATTCAGTGGCGTCCTCCCCTTGTCCAAATGAGTTTGACCTCCCTGTCCCAGAAGGAAAGGCTCTGGAAAAGCCAGTGCTGGCTGAGCCCCAGGGGCCAGCTGCTTCTGTAGACACAGCTGGACCTGAGCCTTCCTGCAGCTCAGCAGCAGGGGCAGCGGTGCTCTCTCAGAGAGAAGAGGAAGTGGCTGCAGAGGGGGACCCTGGAGATGCTCTTGTTGACAATGGCAGTGTGTTGAACATGAGCAACGGAGGCAGCCAGCAGCTCCAGCATCTGGACACCCGGCCTCAGCCGGCCTCTAAAACCCATAGCCCGGTACCTGACATGAGCAAGTTTGCCACTGGAATAACGCCCTTTGAATTTGAGAACATGGCTGAATCCACTGGAATGTACCTCAGGATAAGAAACCTGTTAAAGAATTCACCTCGAAATCAGCAGAAAAACAAAAAGACTTCCGAGTGAGCCCTTGCGGTTGCCCTGACTGCCAGGTGCTCTGCAGCTCTGCATTGTCCCTTCAGACTGAGACCAGGTGACCCATTTGTCCTTCCCACCTTTCAGAATCTGCCCATGATATAATTGTGATCTCAGCTCAAGCCTGTTTTACATAATGAAAGACTGGGCGTGTGAGTTTGTTCTTTTGTTCTCACTGACAACAGCCCAGGGTCTGTGTGTGTGAGGTGGTTCAGAGATGCTTGGTCTGGGTTATACTATTTTTGGATCGTGAGTGTCTGTCAAGAGTGAAGTTTTTTTTTTTTTTAACTGTCTTTTGTAAATTGTTTTCCCTTTCTACATTTTGCTATTATCCTATATATATAAGCTTAATATATCACTTTTTAAAAGAAAAGTCTAACAATTTTAAATTCACACTTCAATTTCAACAACCAAATGAGGATAATCAGGGATGAGCAGCTTTATCCTGCTTGGGGGTATTTTTGTAAGATTTTCATGCATGAATTTTAATAACACTTTTACTTTTTTGTAATTTAATTATTCAAATATGCTTCCAATAAAGGTGTGCTCACCTTTGTGTACAGAGGTTTAATAAATTAGTTTTCTTACACATGAGCCAAGACTTTGGGTAGATATGACTCACAGTTAAAGCTGTTCTTTTAAACTTGGTGAGAATTATGGTTGAGAAGAAACTGCATGTTTGGCTGCTGTGAATGGATTCCAGCCTTACGTGTAATAATATAGAAACAAAATGGTTTAATTACTTTGGGAAAAAAGTGGAGGTCAGTTAACCTTTGTACACAGTAATATTGTGGATTCCAGCTGGAAGATAGACAGGTGTGTACTGAGTGTGACTGTCTTACGCTAGCTGGAGCCTGGTCTGGTTCTCTGGCTGGGCGCTCTTAAGTCCCTGCCAGGTCAAGTTCTGGAACACTTGGAGATCTTGAATTACCACTCAGGTAGTGTTAAGCTGCCCCCAAGCCAACAGAGGGCGCAAAAGGGGATCAATCGGTCCAGATTTAAGTGACAGTTTAAGAACTCAGTGGTCAGATTTACTGACTTATAGACAGTAAAGGGAAGGACGTGATCACAAGAAAGGGAGGATAAGGCCACGCTAGGATAAAATGTTAAGTGCTTGGAGCTTCTCTGTCACCTGAGTTTTCAGTGCATTCTGGGTTTGCATGACACTGTCACCTGCAAAAGTGGCAGCCTTTCTAGCAGGCCTGCCACAAGGAAGGGAAGACACGGAGGCCTAGAGAAGACAAGGGGCCCTGTCAACATTAAACATGCTTTCTTCTCTCTCAGTGTTTTTTCTTCTGAGATAGGATATTGCTGTGTAGCCTAGGCTGGCCTTATTCAGTCTTCCTGATACTACCTACTGCTGAGATTACAGGCAAGATGACATGGTTCTTTTTAAAAAACATTTATGTACGGGGGTGGAGGGTGTTCCTTGGCATGGATATGGATGTTGGAAGACAATGTGTGGGGTCCATGTTCTGTTCTCTCATCAACGTGTCTCCTCATCGAGCACCCTTACCCAGAGAGCCAGCTCACCAGCCTGAAGATGGCATTGAACTTCCTGATTCCGGATTACAGGTGTGCCCTACCATTCCCAATGGCTAAGGATCCAACCCAGAGCACTGTATGTGTGCCAGGCCAGCACTTCCAGCTACACTGCTTCCCGGGCCCCAGTGATACGACTCTGGAAAGGTCAAACTGCCACTAGAGGCTTAGCTGATTTGTAAATCAGAAGTTATTGTTTAGCCCTCTCTGTTGGCTTAAGCCTGGAATCTTAGCACTTGGGAAGCAGGCTGGAGGGTCAGGATCGGCCTTGGTTCTATGGAAAGTTCAGTTAGACTGAGCTGCATGAGATACTGCTTGGGGGGGGGGGAACATTTTCCTTTAAATATTGTATTGCTGGTATCTGCTGAATATTGAAATAATTATTTCCAGCACATACATACTCTGTTAAGGTATAGATTATACCATTATTCCTTTATTGGGTAGGTATTGCCTCATCTTTTTTTGTTTTTTGTTTTTTTTTTTTTTAAATAAATGTCTAAGACATAGATGCCTAATTGTAAATAAATTGACATCACTTGCCTCTGTATCCAAGTTCCTTTTTTTAATATTTATTTTTTTATGTTTTTAATTGTGTGTATATATGTGTAAGTTCAGGTGCCCTCGAAGCCAAGAAGAAGGCATTGGATCCTCCAGAGCTGGAGTTGCATGCAAGTGGTTGTTAAATTGATGGTGCTGGGAACCAAATCTGGGTCCTCCTTGAAAGCAGCAAATTTAACGGCTCAAGCCATCTCTCCAGCCCTGAATCTGAAATTTTATCCACTGCCCTGTTTTCCTGTGAGAAACTCTACAAAAGTATTGGTCTCTCAGGAACTGGGATCCTCTTTTTTATTTAATTACTTAGGGATGGAATTTTAGCTGAGTGGTAGCTTACCTGACATGTATGAATGAGGTCCTAGGTTTGATCCCCAGGACCAGGAAGAAAGCCAATTGACAGTTAGCCACGGGGGCACATGTGCAGTAAATAGACGGAAGGAAGTGATGCGCTGAGAGTGATGGTTCCTGCTTGTTATCTCATCACTGGGAGACTGAGGGGGAAGACAAGTGGTACGCAGGCCTGTATCAGGAAGAGGATAGATGTTAGAAGTCTCCCTTTCGCTGGGCGGTGGTGGTGCACGCCTTTAATCCCAGCACTTGGGAGGCAGAGGCAGGCGGATTTCTGAGTTCGAGGCCAGCCTGGTCTACAGAATGAGTTCCAGGACAGCCATGGCTATACAGAGAAACCCTGTCTTGAAAAACCAAAAAAAAAAAAAAAAAAGTCACCCTTTCCTTTGAAGGAGCTGCTGTGCTTCGTGGGTCTCAGCCCAAAGCAGCAGATGGCAAGGGGCGATCACAGAAGCCTAGAGAAGACAGGTGGCTTAACTACCGATGGGAGGCTAGAGCCGGCTAGCAAGAGAAAACCCCTGAACCAGTCCTCAAAGCAGGAAGGAGGATGTTACAGAACAAATGTACATTGAAAGAAATGAGAGGAGCCACCAAGATGGCTCAGTGGATAAAGGCACGTGTCACCATTGCTGAAGCTGGAGTTCGGTCCCCGGGATTCACATGCTGGGAAGAGAAAAAAAACAAGCTGGACTCTGACCTTCCCGTGCACGCTGTGCCGCCTGTACACACAATAAAGAAAGCATTTTTAAAGAAACGTAGGCTGCTGTGTGTGGGTCTTAGGAAGAGAAAGGTTGAAGAGGAGGGATTGTTTAGACTTGTCATTGCTGTGACCGGTCTCCAGGTGTGGGCAAGTGAGGTAATACCCAAACATTCCCAGGTAGATGTTGGAGCAGGGTGGGGATCTGTTTGTCGTGTGAAATGTGCCACGGGTTGCTACAACAAGGCCAGCTCTCATTTTCTTGAGCAAGTAAGTGGAAAGAAGATGCTGGCTTGACTTTAAACCAAAAGATCTGCCTTTACTTTCTTAAAAAAACTTGTGCCACGGTACCATGGATTCCCTCCTGCATGGCTGGACTTTCCAGTTCTTTGCTAGAGCTCGTGGATCCTGGGTACTGAACTTAGTTATCCACTTTGCTTTACATTTCAAATGTTATTTCCCTTCTCAGTTTCACCTCTGCAAGACCCTGTTTCCTAAACCCCCCCCCCCCCGCTTCTATAAGGGTGCTCCTGGCTTCTTTTAAATTCACATTTTTATTATGTGTGTGTACATGCAAATATCACAGTGCACATGTGGACAGCTTGTGGGAGTCATTTCTCTATCATGTGGGACCTGGGGATGGAACATGGGTCATCGTTTTTGGCAACAACCTTTATCCACTGAGTCTCATTTGATTTTTACTCCCTGTCTTGCAGTTTAAAGATTACCATGAGCAGACAAACCTAACAAGAGTGTTGTAACAATTTTTAGTGCCCAAGCAGCTTTTAAGGTATGATTCATTCTCTGAGGTTACAATGCCTTCAGAGACAGTCTTTGTTTTCAATTTCTAGACTTAGGAAAATCCCTAATCCTTCAATCTTGTCACAGTACAGATCACTTCAGACTGTTAGGAATACATGATTTTGGTAAAAGAAAGTGGTTCACATCTATAATCCAAGCCTGGGATTTAAAGAAACAGACACAGACCATATGTTCCTGGATTACTAATAACATTTTGTAATTCGGTAGAAATACCTTCAGGTCTGGGAATGGAACTTAGGTGGCAGAATGCTTACCCAGCATGCATAGGGCCCAACTCCAGTACCTTAATCAACGTGGTGGTGTATGCCCACAATCCCAGCACTCAAAGGTAGAGACAGGAGAATTAGAAGACCGAAGTCATCCTCAGCTACATAACAACTTTTAAAGCCAGCCTAGAATACACAAGACTCTGTCTCAAAAATAAAATTATTACTCAATTTAAGAAAAGGGGTGGGGATAGAAAAAAAAGAAGAGGGCCAGAGAGATGGCTCAGTGATTAAACATGCTTGCCACCAAGCCTGACAACCTGAGTTCTCTTGTTTTTTGTTTTGTTTTGGTTTTTGTTTTGTTTTGTTTTGTTTTTTTCCAGACAGGGTTTCTCTGTATAGTCCTGGCTGTCCTGGAACTCACTGTGTAGACCAGGCTGGCCTCGAACTCAGAAATCTACCTGCCTCTGCCTCCCAAGTGGTGGGATTAAAGGCGTGCGCCACCACCGCCTGGCAGACAACCTGAGTTCTATTCTCAGGACCCACATGCTAGAAAAGAGAACCCTTCGAGCATGGTAGTGTATGCCTTTAACCCCAGCACTGGGGAGGCAAGGCTGGGTGATCTCTGTGAGTTGAAGGCCAGCTTGGTCCACATTACAAATTCCAGGCTAGCCAGAGCTACATACCAAGACAGTCTCTCAAAAGACCCATATATATTAACATATAACATGTATGTGCAATCTCAGTCCTTTTACTGGATCTTAAGCCACGGGAAATGGATCTTTAAAACAAAACTGCCAATGATTGTATATTTGGAATGTTGTAACCCAAGGAGGGGCTGCAAAGAGCTGGAGGCTTTATCCAGCTCTCTGTCGGGGCTCTCAGCTGACACCAGTCCTCTGCAGGGTGACCTCAGAACACAATGACTTCTCCATTTCAGTCACAGAGGCTTGGGTATTAGTCAGAACTGAGAATGACAAATGAAACTGGATCCAGACAGGCTGTGGGACTCCACCCAAGGCAAACTTCTCACGGACTCAGGAGTTCCCTCCTCTTCCACACTGGGCCTTTAAAACAATCACAGTTCTATTCACCGAACCCGGCCAGGTGATTCTAAAGCTTTTGTTCATAAGCATTGAGGACTAATGAGCCCTGGGATATTAGGATAGTTGCAAATGGTTTCATTAAGAAGTCAGGTTTAGTAGATGGTAACAGAAGAATGTGCTGCCAAGCTGGCATGGTGGCACACACCTATAATCCCAGCTCTGGGAAGGCTAAGCAGGAATATGGTGATTACTATGCTAGCCAGAGTTACACAGCCAGACCCTGTCTTTCTGTATTAGTTTGGCTTTTCTTTTTTTACATTTTTTATTATAGTTTCTGTGTATGTGTGCAAGTGCATACCAAGGTACATATCCGGAGGT